GTCTGTATAAATGAGAGATTGTAACATGGCAAGCAAAGGTGTGTTGGTGTAAACGATTAAATGTAAGTTTGTTCTTTGTTGTAGGATTTACTGCTGATCTCCGATCTAACACTGGTGGCCAGGCCTTCCCACAGTGTGTGTTTGATCACTGGCAAATCCTGCCTGGTGATCCACTTGATTCCACCACAAAACCTGGAATTGTTGTGACTGAAACACGAAAGAGGAAAGGTCTCAGTGAGGGCATCCCAGCCTTGGACAAGTTCTTGGACAAACTGTGACATGTATGCTTCAAAAATAAACGAGAGATTCTTGGAGAACCGTGGGTCTGCTATAGTCAAATGAATTCAATTATGTAGACCCTTAGACTGTCATGTCCTTTTAACCTCGCTAAGCGAGCGTGAGCAGCTTTTTGATGGCAAGTAAACAACATAACCAACGTTCTTAGAGGCTGATAAATAATTCAGGTGAAGAATTCAATAAAATGCTATTTAGCTTTCCTGTTTTTGTCCTTTTACATCCTTGGAGTCGGGCTAGTGACCCTTGATGCTTTACCGTAAGGCCAAGACCCTGTGAGCAGTGTGAACTGGCATGCACCAGCTCACAAAGCAAAAAATGTAGCATCTGCTCGCAAGGGTATGAGGCCAATGGCGTTTTTCCAAATAATTTAGTAGGCTCTGGTCCTTTTTGTCATACCATTAGAATGGCACTAATGGGTGTGTTTTGAAAATTATATAAGCATACCAAATAAAGAAACGTGTTTACCATTGTCAGCACTGGGAGTTAACCAGGGGTCAATTTTTAAATAAACTTTTACAAGTGTAATTTACAAGTGTAGCCATTGTTTTAGAGTCTGAAAACAGTAGCTACAGTTGTAAATTGCACTTGTAAAAGTTGTATTAAATGGACCCCAGGCATGTACGAGAAAGTTAATGACCCCTTATGAGTTTCTGTTTATTGTTAATTGTTGAACCGTAGTTAATTGATTGGAATGGTTAGTAAACCCCGATACTCCTTTGTTATATGTTTTTGTGGACCTGTCGGGGAACAACATTCAATAGCATTCCCACTTATTGACCAATAAACACGTCCCAGTAATTTAATCCATCACAATTTGCCAATAGAAAACAAAGGATTGTGCACCTTCAGGGAGCTTCCAACATAAACTATAGTGCTGCTGTTTTTGTTTGATGTTTGTTGTCTTTCATAGCCAGTCTCCTCTAATAACTAGGGTGGCTACAACTGGGAGTTAAGTCTTGTATGAACTGAATTAATTACTCCCAGTTTGTGTTACTTAAATTACAGTAACTGAGTAGTTAAATATTCGCATCTTTGTCCGCGCAAAAAAAGAAATGAAGATAAAGGAGAACTAAAAAATCGCTCACTCTGTTGTAAAAGTAATATGTTGTTCTTATTTAAATGAAGATAGGAATGGGATTTGAACCCATGGTCTCTGCGTTAGCGCTACAGTGCAGTTTGTTTGATATTCTTGTACCAAAGCATTAGAATGTCAGACGTTTTCCCTCAGCGTCTTGTTATAGTCACAAATTTCGTTATTTTTTTTCGTTTATATACATTTCCTGAGGAAATTTTAATTAATGACGATTCTACCCGCTCCCCCCCCCCAGATGCCCACTTCTGCCAACGCACACATCCTTCACCTTTTTGCTTTAATATTGGTTGCAACATTCCTGACTCGAAATTAATCGATTTGACCTCATGCATTGGATTCTCCGTGCACTTTGGTAAGGTTTCCAATATCCATCCTCTTCATAAAACACAGAGCAATCGGTAGTCACAGCAAACACCTCTGCACCTCGGACCTGAGGTGTGTTGTCTAATGAGGAGCGAACAGCTATTACGCCACCGAATGCACAGCGATCTATGTTGAGGTAGTAGCGAACACCTTGAAAAAAGAACCAACACAAGATTAATTTTATGGAGTTATAAATAATGTTCCTTTGGCGTGTGCCCTGGTTCAAAATATTTCTCTATTTTTGATAGGCTTAGATCCCCTGGCTAATTATAACCAGCTATGATGTCCAAATTTGGACGATGTTTGCAATATACTGTAAAATGATGTCAGTAGTGCAGTATATCCACCAAAAAAGGGATGGAACCAAGAAACCATGGGGAAAGGTTACATTAGGCCAGCTGTTTTTTTAGACTTAGAGAAAATGGCAGAAAATTTCACACATTTTGCAAAGAAGAAATAGCGCAATTACCTAAAAAAATAGCAAAAGTACAACTCAACGGATGACAACTGCTATTTGAAGAATAACACTTTTACTTCAACTTTGACCTGTGTACATGCCTTTAAATGTCATCCACTTTTTGCTACCCCTATTTACATCTGGGGGAGGGGTGAGGCCTTGGTAATGCCTCCCCCTTAATAAAACCCTGTTTGCAGTATGGAAAATTTTGTTTTGATTTTCCTTTTTTCACCCACCAAAATTTCTCAAGTGTCACCAAAATTCAAAGATTCTGTTGAGTAGATTTTGAGGCCTACAATTTGCAATTTCTGGTCAGGTGACAAATTGCTAACATGACCAACTGAAGTTCCTTTAATTGACTTCTCTAGTAACTCGAAAAATTTCATGTCTCAGGTGTGAACAAGGTTATAAAAATGAAAAATTGGTGGTAACAAAATTTTCAATTTTTTGGCAAACGCCAAATCTAGTCTTTGCTAAAAAACAGGACAATTTATTGATTGTTTACGGTAGTACCTGGTGCATAGAGGGGATCAGAGGAGAGATTCAGTTTCTTTTTAACATCCTTCCAACTGAACTCAACTCCATTTACTGTTGGTGTCTGTAATCATCAAAAAGCATATAAGTAACAACTCCCTTAATAACGGATCTCATTGGCTTTTCAGCCAGGACTAATACTTAAGACAAGACTCAAATATGACATGTCAGCCCAGTGATTTTTTTTTTATCAAAACTTTTTTTTTGTTAGTTGTCAGGGAATCTCCTGTAACCTTGACTTTCAAAAATGGTCAAATGAAAATGGATATATTTTGAAAAAGAAGATCATGATTTTGCTTGTTCCCTTTTTTTTTTAATTCTCATGCACTGTAAGTTTCTTAACAAAAACCAAGGCAGGCGTTAGAATAAATTTGTCCCATTTTTCAGAAATAGTTAAGTTTTCTGAGCACTTCAAGTCATCTTGAACATGAAGTGACGAAATCCTTTTTTTGCAGTCTCAACAAAAACAGGTACTTACAGACAGTAAATTACATAAAGACAGCACAATAAATGGTGCTTATATGTTGACAATAACAACAACTATCTTAAAAGTTGACACTAACAAAAACTAGTTTAAAACTTGACACTAACGATAACTAGCTTGCAAGTTGATGCTATGTAATTGTGCATTGATTGTCAGTAATACTTACATGAATGAAAGATGAAACATTTGACAGTAAATTATAATGGCTGTTGAGTTTAACTAGGTAGTGAAGTAAGATTTGTACGGTTTTGAACGGGGACCAGAGAGAATGTATGAGAACCGCTCAAATTGGGCCTGATCTCAGGTTAGTAGAGAAGTGACGAAGTCTTAACTGGTACCAACCAAGGGGTAAATGGGTCTCCTCAAAGTAAGAGACCAGTAAGGATATGCCGCTGGATAGGATCAATGCTTTACGACTCCTGTTTGAGGGGAGGGAGTATTTCTGCCGTTGGGATGTGTTAGGCATGCTTCCCAAAATGTGATTTTCTATACCCAGTGTTCCAGACTGCACCCTAGTGTTCTGGCAAGAGTTAAAATAATAAGAAAAAAGCACATACCCAAATAATCATAGAAATGTTCGTACCTGTCGGTCATGAGTGGTGAAGACAAAAGACAAAGTTTGACCTTCTTTTAGCGAGCCTCTGTGACAATACCAGTAACAAAGCATAGATCCCCTAGTGTAGTGTTCATACAAGAAGACTAGCAGAAAAACAAGTAAAACAGCAAGAGGGATTTTCCACACAAGTCCTGTTAAATGGAAGCAAAGACATTTACAAATAAATGCTTAGAAATGGTCGAATTAATTAATATGTAATCGTGTTTTAAAATTGCATATATAAGCTCATCACTTGAAGCTCTTAAGAGTGATTTTACTTGAACCGTGAAACTAACAAATAGGTGAAAATAGCGAGAGGTAAAGAAAAGACGACAATAAAATTAGTGCATAACATTGCATAGTAATTCTACTACCTATTTCACTGTTCAAGTAAAATCACTCTAAAGAATTTATGCTCCAAACTGTAAATAGTCAAGGTCTCGGTAAGTGTTATCAGCCTCAGTCTTTGATTATTTGATTATTACCTCGACCTTGATTATTCCGGACATAACATCATCCAATAAATAAATAAAAAATCGTTTAATATCATATTCAAATACACTTATAAATGGAGTAGGGTGTGTCCATAAACATTTTGAACATTTTTACTGAAACCATTACCAGTTTTGAAGAAGAGATTTCTCTTTGAAATCAGCTTATCCACGCCTTGTGCTAAACCAGTCACTATTTTTTCCAGGACATCTTGTCGGCTTAGAAGGCCTCTCTGTTGCTCCTCAAGAGTTCCTTTCACTTCTTTGATCAAAGATGCATTTGATTTGGTTGCAGTTTTGTTTCCTACCAGCGATTCGGTGATCTTTGCCTGATCCCCTTTGAGTTCTTTAAGACTGCTTTCTAAAGCTACATGTTTAGCTTCCAGCCTTTGGATTTCAAGCCCAAACAGCTGTGTCAATTTGCAAAGGTTTTCTTTCAGTCCCTTATGATCCTGCATCCAGGCATCCTTGTTTACCTCAACAGATGTCACTAATGTATTCATCTCATCTTTAACAAGTTTAAGTACATCACTGTTAATCTCCTTTCTGAAACACATCTCCTTTCCTACAGAGTCAGACACATTTAATATCACAATATTTNCAATTTGCAAAGGTTTTCTTTCAGTCCCTTATGATCCTGCATCCAGGCATCCTTGTTTACCTCAACAGATGTCACTAATGTATTCATCTCATCTTTAACAAGTTTAAGTACATCACTGTTAATCTCCTTTCCGAAACACATCTCCTTTCCTACAGAGTCAGACACATTTAATATCACAATATTTTCCAAGTAGCAGCTGATTTTAATCTAAAACAGCTTCACACATTGCACAATACAACTCTATTACCTTAGGGGGGTACTCCAGATTTCAAGGGACAGGGATGATTGAATGGGGGCAAAAAACCAAACCCCAAAAAATCCCTGGACCAACATTATAACCCCCAAAAAATCTCATGCTGAATTTCTAAGCCATAAAAATTTCCAGAAAGCATTAAATGATGTAACACAAAAAATAGAAACATTAGTAATGGAATATTTTCAACACACCATCTGGAGTAAGAACCTTTTTCACATCTGGTAGCCTGTTCCAGGCGTTCAGATCATTGGGACAGTGCAAAGAGATGTGAGCAGGAAAAAAAACAACGAGGGGGTGGGGTAGGGGGTATTTTTTTTCTTGCTCTCTTCCTTTGCACCTCCTATCCGAACGCCTGGAACAGGCTACACATCTGGTGGTCATTGTAACAACACTTGAGACACCCAAGAACATATTCTGTTACAACAATAACATTATGCATAATGACAGTTTTAAACAAAACCACCTTGGGCAAGAACATTACGAACAACCCTACAAAGTTATTTACAGATTCTCAGATGTGTTAAATATCAAAACAGTCACAAAACAAGTTTGGTTCTATTTTATTCGCGGAACTATGTGGCTGGGATACATGGGAACCATCACGAATCTTCAGATTGTTTTGAATACCCCCCAAAATCTGTACTTAATCAAGTTACCCCCAAAAAAACATGCCAAAATTTTTCTACCCCCAAAAATCCCGAAATCATAAATTTCAAACCCCCAAAAAATCCTTCGATCATCCCTTTCCTTCTCCCTAAAATATTAACAGCCAGGCAAATAATATTTTTTTTTATTGTTGAAATGTGTGTTTACTGTAACAAGATTTCCTACCAACCTCTTTTCTTCCATTCCTTCAAATCTGCCATAACTTGTTTAGTATCAACAGCCACATGGTCACTTAACTTTGTGATCAGGTCTTCCATCAGTTGAAAACAGTTATTATAGTATGTTTCAGTCCATGTGGCAAACTTACAGTGACCCCATTCATTTCGGACTTTAGAACGCACTTCGGCAGCAAAGAAATCAATTCCATAATAAACAAAGACTGGTGTCCCACATAAAATGGAAAGAGCAGCAGAGGTATCTATAGATTCATCAAATGCTGTAAAACTTGCCATGCGGGGCTTCACATACAATTTGGCAAAAGAAACGTCATCCTTTACACGGTAATCATAGTTTTTTGGTGGTCCTCGAGTTTCATTGTTGTTGATGTTGATGTAGTTCAAACAGTGAGAGGAAGGTGGAAGGGATCTTAAATGTGAAGCAAATGTTAGTAAATGGATGCTTGTAGGTGGTTGAATGAGCTTTTGATATAGTTTTGGTACTTCTTCTTTAATAACCTCTCTTAATACTGGTGTAAGAACTTTTGAAAGGCAAATGCCGACCACTAGCCATCTAGTTTCCTCCTCTCCCAACATTCTTTCATCCATAATATCATTCACCTACAACAGAAGTGATAAAGAAAATACAGAGGATTAAATATAAAACACAAATTATAAATGACTGGTGCCATAATTTCCTTGTCTAATCTTGTGCTGAGAGAAGTAAAATCACATTTCAGCATTTGATAAAAAAATGCAGTTAACCCTCAACTCTATTCTCCTCTGCAGCCGTTTTTACGGTCATCACACATTAGTGTTCCCCTTGGAGAGGTATATTGCATGATGATCCTAAAATTGTCTGTGTAGGAGATTTAACCACCCTTTCAGATCAGTGACATCACAGATATATACTATGGTACGACATGGGGCCTATGCCCCCTCCTTTATCAAACAATATCACGGTCTCTTTTATGTCCCCTTTTAGAACGCAACGTGCCAAACATCTTGGCCCAATGAGAGGCAATCTTCTGATCTTCAACTTTCTCAATCACTGTCAGTATTACCCTGAGTTCCGAAGGTTATTTTTTTTGTATCTTATTCCTGATAGTTTGAGCACAGTTTACTTCATCTTAGGTATTTTGAGAATGGACTTCTGAAGCCAGGGTATATGCCAGTATGATCTTACTTAGTTAATTGCTATAGTTCCTGGCTGATGGTCTGGTTAACGCTGGTATGTTAAAATCCCGACCTCTTGCACTTAGGAGACTAGCACTCCGCAGTTGAGCTAAACAGGTGGCAGTACCATACCATGTGGATACTACTATTCATTGAAGGTTGTTGTTATGAGGAATAGCATTTACTAGTCTTAGATCCGAGGCCCCTTTAGGGTGGTAGCTGCATGTGTCCCTACTCTGAATTTCAAAACCCTTTCACTTGTCTTTGTCAGTTTCAAGAAAATTATCCATCTTTAAGTTCTTTGTATGTCAGAAGTTTCCCAAACAGGGCTTTTAATAAGGTGGAGCCGCTTCATTTCTTGTTCAACAGCTTTGAGAAGTGTGTACCATTGAGTCTTACATCTAGTAGCCTCTGTCACTAGATTAAGTGGCTACCCTGTATTATGTGACCACTTAGCAGTCTGCAAGCACAATCCTTTTTGACCTGGCATCCATACCTCCCGCCCCTCATATCTTACATTTCCGGCTCCCTACCCTTTGTTCTGGGCTTCCTTCCCTTAGCCTAGAGCCTTTTTTGTTGCAAAATATTAGGCATTGTCTTGTAATTTTCTTCCATTTTTCCCACTTTCCACCCTTTTAGAACTCCCACCTACAGCTGTACTGCTCTTTCCTTTCCCGCCTCCGGTACCCCTTCCACCCCCCTATTCTCCAAGCCTCCCATCTTCCAAATGCACAACCCAACCCCCCCTCCAATCACCCCCACCACCAATACCACCCCCCACTGTATGATGCTTGAGTCACATGCAGCAATCTTCTGTAGAGGCCCTGCCAGGGTAAATTCCGACAAGCGACATGGCCCATAAAGTAGCAACAGCGTGCAAAATGAAATTGCGACAAGAGACAACCTCCCTCAGCCAAATTGCGACATTGACAGCAAGCCGACAATAAGCGACAAGCATTTATAAACACCGACACGAGACGTTTTAAAATTCAGACGGGCGACATGGGACCCCCCCGACCCCCCCTGGCAGGGCCTTTTTGTAAGGACTCTGTAAGCTCATAAACACTTAACATGAATAGAGTCGAAACATGTATACATAAAATTGTATGGGGCTGTGCGGAAATCTTACCAAACTAACTTTTTAAGGTTACATTCTTACCTTAAATGGGTGTAAATCTCACGTAGCTATTCTCATTTTCTGCCTTTAAGTTTAATTGTAGCTGATATATAAAGGAAGAACTTTGTTCCAAAGGGCAAGCAGGCCTTCATGTCATAATTCTACCAGACTGATGTCCCGTTCTGGGTATGCGTAAGCTTTAAAAGTAACGTTTACGTACTCTTTACTCGTGAAACAGTAGAACGTGGACTCCTTGAGGCACAGTTAGAAGCCGCGAAAAAATTTCCCCCTCCTAATAAAGGGAGACTTTCTAAGAGGATTACACGACCAATTTACACGACCCACTTTTAAGAAGTCCTCCCCAGCTTTCGCTCGTACAAATCATTCAATATGGCGGGTCAGAGGTTAAACGTTTTCCAAGAATTGATTTTTTATCAGCCAAGACGAACGCGAGTAGGGCGTTGTGGCTGTCTTTTACTTTCAACATCACTCGAGAAAACTTTATTCTTCAAAGAGAGAGGCCCCTAAAGAAAACTTTGAGTTAATTACGTTTCTACACTACATTCCTTCGAAGGAGCTAAAAAGTTACTGTTACACACAGCTAGGATAGTTTTAAAGCGTCATTTTAGCTTATTGATGAATGTCAAACTGAAAGTTAAAACTATTGAAAATGATCCTATAATAATTGCGCTTTCGTAAGAAGCTGGTGACGCATTTTCGGGTAAGTTGTTTTACATACTTACTTGTCACGTTTTATTCCTGACTTGTTTGTACCTTTTTTCTTTGTTCAGCTACCTTTAACCTAATATGGTGTTACTCGCTCTTCGAATAGCATACTTTCTCTGTAATTATCTTGACAAAAATGATAAACTGTTGATTTTTCTTTCTGCCTTGGAGACTTAACTTAAGATTATTTTAATTTCGATTTTTAAGAGCTATGACTAGCACTTGGAAATTGAAGTAATAATTATGGGATCTTTTTTAATGTGAATCTTAACCAATGTATATATATATACTACACATTTTATTTCTCAATAGAGCTTGTCATGGTTTTGGAAGCAATCTTGACGAGTAGGTAACCATGTGAGAAATTACAGTGTTTGTGTGAGAATGGAATGTCGATACGAATGTTATGTAGTGCCTAATGAACACACTACTGTTTTTATTAAGCTCATATGCTGGGGAGGATCCAGGATTAGTTGAGCGGGGTGCTGATAAGTGTCCGCCAAAGGCATACCATCCTAGGGGTGTCCGGGGGCATGCTCCCTTGGAAAAATTTTGAGATTTAGGTCCTCAGAAACAGGCACGGATCTAGGATTAATACTGACCGATTTCCTAAACGGGGGGCCGAGGGAGCAAGCGTCTAGGGAAGCCCCCGGGAATTTTTTTTTTGATTTTTAAAGTCCCTAAAGTTCCTTTAATTTCTCGGGTTTCTGTCTAACGCCCGGAAATTGGAAAAAGAAAACATTTGTCCAGACTATTTTCCAGAAAGTTCTAATATTGTTATTTTATTATTAAAAATGTTTATCGTGAAAAATTTGACCAATTTCCGTAAAACGGTGGAAACCGGTGTGGATCCGCGCCTGAGAAAGGTGACCTCCTGCGTTGTATTATTGTAGGTTGTCTCATGCCTTTGAAACAACCCCTTTTTTAGCTATTTTGAACGTGAACTACTCTTAAAAATTTACATTAATCCAGACCAATAACGAAAACGGTTATAAATTTGTATTTGCCATGTGCTCTAAAAATCACTCTTGAGTTTCTTCAAAAATGGAAGCAGTGGGGCATTTAAAACCAGGAAAGGACTCTCCTCTGTCAATTAGTGTTTTGTTTTTCTTCTCTTCACGGTCATTTTTCAAAAAATAACATATAGTTTTTGTTAGGGATGTATGTCCACCAAAGGTTTTCATCAAAAACTGCTCGTGTTTAAACATTTCAATTTCTGTTTAGGGGGTTCAAACGAACCCTCCAAACCACCTGAACCACCCCTGGATCTGCCCCAGCATATGCTTTTTTTTAGCAATAATATTATACACATGTAATAATCTTATAAATTTTACACTCTTGGTCTCTAGTCAATAATGATACACTAGTAAAATACAGGGCAAAAAACTTTTTTTTCACTTCACTTATCCATCGGCATAGTACTTTGCAGATTTTGGTTGTCCGGTCATGAAATCCACTCACCCAAAGAAAACAAAACGCTGCCAAAATAGATTTCGACATTGTGACCCATGGGTTCGCCGATGGGACTAGTTTTTACTCAGTGGTAACTAACTTTTCATGCCTGGTTGCCAACTTTGCCCCCAAGATATGTGACCTTCTTTGGGCAAATGTACACTTACGATGATCCGTTATCTGTTAGGAAACTAACGGATAGCTAATGGTTTTTGTGACTTTCAAAAGGTTTGCCCAAACGGTTATCTATCTTGATTGTGTACCTGATTGCAAATTTAATAGTTTGATGAAAATTTGCAGAAAGTTAATCAAAAACGAACGTTGCCTATATCTTGGCGCTTTAATATTTCTCGAACTTCTTGTAAACAACTTTAAGCCCATGGCATAAAGCGTGGTGTGACGACCCAAATTAAAGCTCTGATGTATTTTATTGACTACTAAAACAGTACTGTACTAGGCAATAAATGAAATAGATCAAGTTTCACCGATGTTCATTTCTGAACATCAATGCAAATATGGGACACAAAGCAAATGTTTGCAGATTTTTTTTCTTTCTGAACCCAAATAAGTTTTTCTGTGATTCCTAAAGTTTGTTTAACTACGTGTTTATTTCATTTCCTGAAGCTTGAATACCTGTTTGAAGAAATTAATTCTTCACAATTATTTACCAGAGACTTGAGACGCAGCTGTAGTATGTGAGTTCTTCGACTGATGCTACGAATTTAAGAATGGACATTGATAATAAAATGAGCGAAAACCACTGGAAAGGAAGGAAGTCGTTGGTTTTAAGATCTTACAAAATAATTAATTTTAAATTATGGACTTGAGCATTCTTTTTCTGTTAAGGCTAAGTAAAAGACATTTAGTTTATTCCATTAATTCTTTAATATAATTTTTGGTGACTAGAATACTTGTTCTGGTGACCAAAAATAAAACCATGGGGGACAGCTGGCCCCAAGATTTAAATCGAGCACTGCTGTAACCATTCAAGTTACTTCTCATTACTTTATTCCATGCAAGCTATCGACTCCAGATCTTACAAAGCTAAAAAAAATATTGCTCACGATAAATTTTACTCATCTGGTTGGACGATTGCTTTATGAATTTCAGTCGTTCGTGGCCAAAACGTACTCGTCTCAGACGAGCGCACAAGTGGAAGTTTTTTGCCCTGAATTAATAGTTTTATTAATTTGATTTTAATTGCTACAATAGTTGCTTATTTCAATTTATAGTGTCCCCATTTAGTGGTTCCTCTACTACTATGTTAGTGTGACATTTAAATAAAGGTAGTGATTGATTGAATAATATCTGTAAAACAGCTGTTCTGAAAAAAAAATGTGAGTTGTAAACTAAAGCTACTCAGTAAAGGATTCTACTAACAAATTTTGGGGGCCATACCTGAGCTTAAATTTCTCCAGATGCTCACCACGCTTGCCTTAGATTTTCTGTACGTTTGTGTGCAATTTTTCCAGGGAAATTTTAGTGGGCAGGAAGAAAAATTTTTACAGACGAATAAATATAAAATTTTAAAAACTGGTTCTAGCACATGTAGCTGCATGTAATGCCCTAGTATTTTTTCAGTAGAATACTTTATTGTTAGGAGTGAAGCTATTCTTATTTTTTTCAGGACAGCCATTTTACAGGAATTATTCAACATTAGATTCTCATACATGTACAAACACTGTAATTTCTCACACAGTTGCCTATTTGTCAAGGTGGCTTCCAAAACCATGACAAGGTCTATTCTATCGCAGGAGGAGGTGAATATTGAAAAGAATGTTTGGAGATGAGGAGAAGAGATGGCTGGTGGTTGGAATTTGCCTTAACAAAGTTCTCACACCAGTATTAAGAAAGGTTATTGAAGAGGAAATACCACAACTTTATGACATGCTTATTCAACCACCTACAAACATTCATTCACAAACATTTGCTTCTCACCAAGAACGCCTTTCACCATCTACCCTGCGCCTGAATTACATTAACATAAACAACAATAAGACTCAAGCGTCACCTAAACACTATGATTACAGTGTCAAAGATGACATCTCCCTTGCCAAACTGTTTGTTAAGCCACCCATGGCAAGCTTCACGGCATTTGATGAAAGTCTGGACTTGTCAGCTGTGCTTTCTATTTTATGTGGGTCCCCAAACTTTGTATTTTATGGCGTTGATATGATGGCAAGTGAAGTGCGTGCAAAAGTGCGCAATGAGTGGGGTCATTGTTTGTTTACCAGGTGGACTGAAGCCTACTATGACGAATGTTTTCAACTGATGGAAGACCTCATCAAAAAATTGAAACTTGCTGTAACTTCTGAGGCAAAAGTTCTGGAAGATTTAAAGAAATGGAAAAAAAGAGGTAAAATCATAAAGTTACTTTTTAAGAACTCAACAGCATTTTATACTGGGAGGCTTTATCACAAGGTCTAAGCTCTTACCTTTGGTGTACCATTTTTGATGGAAAAGGTACCTGCACCTTTATACACCTTCTATTGAAAAATAATGCTCCTTTAACATACCTATATGTACTAACAGTAAGTCCTTTTATGCTATTTAGCGTTAAGGGAAAGTTCATTTAATATGACAAGGGGGGGGATGAAGATATTGAAACTCGAAGCTTGAAATTTTAGCAGCCCCCCTCGCTAGCGGTTCAATTTTTTAGGAGCCCCCTCCTTGGTAGTTGAAAAAATTTCAGAGACCCCCCACCCCCCCTCCTCCTTCAATTCCTTTGCTCCCCTGAAAAAAGATCGCTAGACTGTATTAAATATATGTCTTCAATGGTTTATACTATGACAAACTTGAGATACAGTTGTGATACAATTNAAATGATCCTATAATAATTGCGCTTTCGTAAGAAGCTGGTGACGCATTTTCGGGTAAGTTGTTTTACATACTTACTTGTCACGTTTTATTCCTGACTTGTTTGTACCTTTTTTCTTTGTTCAGCTACCTTTCACCTAATATGGTGTTACTCGCTCTTCGAATAGCGTACTTTCTCTGTAATTATCTTGACAAAAATGATAAACTGTTGATTTTTCTTTCTGCCTTGGAGACTTAACTTAAGATTATTTTAATTCCGATTTTTAAGAGCTATGACTAGCACTTGGAAATTGAAGTAATTATTATGGGATCTTTTTTAATGTGAATCTTAACCAATGTATATATATATAGACTACACATTTTATTTCTCAATAGAGCTTGTCATGGTTTTGGAAGCAATCTTGACGAGTAGGTAACCATGTGAGAAATTACAGTGTTTGTGTGAGAATCGAATGTCAATACGAATGTTATGTAGTGCCTAATGAACACACCACTGTTTTTACTAAGCTCATACGCTGGGGAGCATCCAGGATTAGTTGAGCGGGGTGCTGATAAGTGTCCGCCAAAGGCATACCATCCTAGGGGTGTCCGGGGTCATGCTCCCTTGGAAAAATTTTGAGATTTAGGTCCTCAGAAAGGTGATCTCCTGCGTTGTATTATTGTAGGTTGTCTCATGCCTTTGAAACAACCCCTTTTTTAGCTATTTTGAATGTGAAGTACTCTTAAAAATTTACATTAATCCAGACCAATAACGAAAACGGTTATAAATTTGTAATTGCCATGTGCTCTAAAAATCACTCTTGAGTTTCTTCAAAAATGGAAGCAATAGGTATTTAAAACCAGGAAAGGACTCTCCTCTGTCAATTAGTGTTTTGTTTTTCTTTTCATCACAGTCGTTTTCCAAAAAATAACATATAGTATTTGTTAGGGATGTATGTCCACCAAAGGTTTTCATCAGAAACTGCTCGTGTTTAAACATTTCCATTTCTGTTTAGGGGGTTCAAACAAACCCTCTGAACCACCTGAACCACCCCTGGATCTGCCCCAGCATATGCTTTTTTTTAGCAATAATTAATATTATACACATGTGATAATATTATAAATTTTACACTCTTGGTCTCTAGTCAATAATGATACACTTGTAAAATACAGGGAAAAAAACTTCTTTTTCACTTCACTTGTCCATCGGCATAATACTTTGCAGATTTTGGTTGTCCGGTCATGAAATCCACTCACCCAAAGAAAACAAAACGCTGCCAAAATAGATTTCGACATTGTGACCCATGGGTTCGCCGATGGGACTAGTTTTTACTCAGTGGTGACCAACTTTTCATGCCTGGTTGCCACCTTGGCCCCCAAGATATGTGACCTTCTTTGGGCAAATGTACACTTACGATAATCTGTTATCTGTTAGGAAACTAACGGATAGCTAATGGTTTTTGTAACTTTCCAAAGGTTTGCCCAAACAGTTTATCTATATTGATTGTGTACCTGATTGCAAATTTAATAGTCTGATAAAAATTTGCAGAAAGTTAATCAAAAACGAACGTTGCCTATATCTTGGTGCTTTAATATTTCTCGAACATCTTGTAAACAACTTTAAGCCCATGGCATAAAGCGTGGTGTGATGACCCAAATTAAAGCTCTGCTGTATTTTATTGACTGCTAAAACAGTACTGTACTAGGCAATAAATGAAATAGATCAAGTTTCACCGATGTTCATTTCTGAACATTAATGCAAATATGGGACGCAAAGCAAATGTTTGCAGATTTTTTTTCTTTCTGAACCCAAATAAGTTCTTCCGTGATTCCTTCCGTTTAACTACATGTTTATTTCATTTCCTGAAGCTTGAATACCTGTTTGAAGAAATTAATTCTTCACATTTATTTACCAGAGACTTGAGACGCAGCTGTAGTATGTGAGTTCTTTGACAGATGCTATGAATTTAAGAATGGACATTGATAATAAAATGAGCCAAAACCGCTGGAAAGGAAGTCGTTGGTTTTAAGATCGTACAAAATAATTAATTTTAAATTATGGACTTGAGCATTCTTTTTCTGTTAAGGCTAAGTAAAAGACATTTAGTTTATTCCATTAATTCTTTAATATAATTTTTGGTGACTAGAATACTTGTTCTGGTGACCAAAAATAAAACCATGGGGGACAGCTGGCCCCAAGATTTGAATCGAGCACTGCTGTAACCATTCAAGTTACTTCTCATTACTTTATTCTGTGCAAGCTATCGACTCCAGATCTTACAAAGCTAAAAAAAATATTGCTCACGATAAATTTTACTCATCTGGTTGGACGATTGCTTTATGAATTTCAGTCGTTCGTGGCCAAAACGTACTCGTCTTAGATGAGCGCACAAGTGGAAGTTTTTTGCCCTGAAATAATAGTTTTATTAATTTGATTTTAATTGCTACAATGGTTGCTTATTTCAATTTATAGTGTCCGCACTTAGTGGTTCCTCTACTGCTATGTTAGTGTAACATTTAAATAAAGGTAGTGATTGATTGAAAAATATCTGTAAAACAGCTGTTCTGAAAAAAAAAATATGAATTGTAAACTAAAGCTACTCAGTAAAGGATTCTACTAACAAATTTTTGGGGCCATACCTGAGCTTAAATTTCTCTAGACGCTCACCACGCTTGCCTTAGATTTTCTGTATGTTGGTGTGCAATTTTTCCAGGGAAATTTTAGTGGGCAGGAAGAAAAATTTTTACAGACAAATAAATAGAAAATTTTAAAAACTGGTTCTAGCACATGTAGCTGCATGTAATGCCCTCGTATTTTTTCAGTAGAATACATTATTGTTAGGAGTGAAGCTATTCATATTTTTTTCAGAACAGCCATTTTACAGAAATTATTCAACATTAGATTCTCATACAAATGTACAAACACTGTAATTTCTCACACAGTTGCCTATTTGTCAAGGTGGCTTCCAAAACCATGACAAGGTCTATTCTATCGCAGGAGGAGGTGAATATTGAAAAGAATGTTTGGAGATGAGGAGAAGAGATGGCTGGTGGTTGGAATTTGCCTTAACAAAGTTCTCACACCAGTATTAAGAAAGGTTATTGAAGAGGAAATACCACAACTTTATGACATGCTTATTCAACCACCTACAAACATTCATTCACAAACATTTGCTTCTCACCAAGAACGCCTTTCACCATCTACCCTGCGCCTGAATTACATTAACATAAACAACAATAAGACTCAAGCGTCACCTAAACACTATGATTACAGTGTCAAAGATGACATCTCCCTTGCCAAACTGTTTGTTAAGCCACCCATGGCAAGCTTCACGGCATTTGATGAAAGTCTGGACTTGTCAGCTGTGCTTTCTATTTTATGTGGGTCCCCAAACTTTATATTTTATGGCATTGATATGATTGCAAGTGAAGTGCGTGCGAAAGTGCGCAATGAGTGGGGTCATTGTTTGTTTACCATGTGGACTGAAGCCTACTATGACGAATGTTTTCAACTGATGGAAGACCTCATCAAAAAATTGAAACTTGCTGTAACTTCTGAGGCAAAAGTTCTGGAAGATTTAAAGAAATGGAAAAAAAGAGGTAAGATCATGAAGTTACTTTTTAAGAACTCAACAGCATTTTATACTGGGAGACTTTATCACAAGGTCTAAGCTCTTACCTTTGGTGTACCATTTTTGATGGAAAAGGTACCTGCACCTTTATACACCCTCTATTGAAAAATAATGCTCCTTTAACATACCTATATGTACTAACAGTAAGTCCTTTTATGCTATTTAGCGTTAAGGGAAAGTTCATTACTTAATATGACAAGGGGCGGGGGATGAAGATATTGAAACTCGAAGCTTGAAATTTTAGCAGCCCCCCTCGCTAGCGGTTCAATTTTTTAGGAGCCCCCTCCTTGGTAGTCGAAAAAATTTCAGACCCCCCACCCCCCCTCCTCCTTCAATTCCTTTGCTCCCCTGAAAAAAGATCGCTAGACTGTATTAAATATATTTACCGTTATTGTCTTCAATGGTTTATACTATGACAAACTTGAGATACAGTTGTGATACAATTTTCTAAAGCATTTTTGGGATGAACAAGAGTGTAATAATTACTGAGACTACATTTGTTATATCTGTAAACCACGTGATATAGCTGAGTTGCACAGGTCATTAAATTGTTGAGTTGAAAACCATCCGATCTGTATGATGATGTCATGTGTTGGTTTTGAAGTATACAAATTTTCGGAGCCCCCCCTCCTAGCGCAACAATTTTTTCAGAGCCCCCCCTTCAGGTGTCTAAAAATTTTCGGAGCCCCCCCTCAATATCTTCATCCCCCCCCTTGTCATATTAAATGAACTTTCCCTAAGTGAATTACAGTGATACAGTCAATAATAAGGCTCTTTTAAAATACCTTGTTAACACATTCCCCTACCCTTTCATATTCTTCAACTCACAAAATCCCTACCTGGCCAAAGAGAGGGAACCCCTTTCTGGCAGAGCCTTTCTATAATGAGCTATTACAGGGATCAGTATATCCTCCAGGTTCTTCTGTTCAGTGTTAAGACCACAAATAACAGTCAATCATTGGACAATGTCAAACCAGAATGGCAGCTTGACTGGCCAAAAACTTCACTTGTCCAGCGTGCAAAGAAAGAAGTGTCCGATAGCCCGGGGCTAGTGGATTTTGCTATTTGGTTAGTGAATTCTGTTTTTAACTTGCCCGATGGGCAAGTGATATTTTTTTGAGGAATTCAATTAACAGAAGAACTGTGAAATCAATCCTGCTCTGCAAAAAGCTTTTGGGTCTAGTTGAAATGAAGCCTGGGCTAGTATAATATGCTAGCTTCACCCTGTTGCCAGTCATGTTGATTGGTCACAACAGAGATCAAAGCTATCTTTGGTAAATTTTTAATCCATTTTTTTAAACAGTCTACAACCCCGGACAAAACTGTTGAGACAAATTCATCTATTTTCTAACTTTTGCGCCCTACTCCCGTCTCCCCTAAACACAAAAAGTAAACCCCCTCCCCACCGGCTATTCAAAGTTGTCTTGGTCTAAAAACCAACGTGTATAATTGCAATGCTATCCTAAACAACTTTGGATAAAGGGAGGGGGGAAATCAGGCATTCATTTGGCAGAGGTTTCAGTTTTTGCCGCGATTACAGGAAAAAATAGGCATTTTCGCGATTTGTCTCAACTGGTTTTGTCCAGGGTTGTAGCTCTGACTTGAACAAGCACATGATAGTTTTGTGTTTACAGACTGTTGCGAGTTGACTTTTTTCCAATATTTTGACCAGCCAGAAACAAGACTTAACCAAGCAAATATTTCTTTGGCTGGTGATCATTCTGTCCGGCCTTCATTCAAAAATAATGTTTTGAGCCCACTACTAATCCCGTAGGCCATGGGTTCAGATTATGTTTATAGTCAATTCTTCTGGTTTTCTGTCACCTTTGTAGGTATTGAAATGTGCTTTGAGGAATCTATCAGTCATGATATTCTGGAGCTCATTCAAACTGAAATGGCCACTTTAGTGAAGTCTGTAGAGGACAACAAAGAATCCTGGATGCAAGACCAAGTGGTACTGAAAGATAACCTTCAAAACTTGACCCAAGCATTTGGGACTGAAATCAAAGGGCTTGAAGCTAAACACACAGTCTTAAGAAGTGGATTTCAGAGACTTGAAAGCAGACAAGATGATCTTGAAGTAAAAGTGAGTGGTTTAGAGCAAGGCACAGACAAGAGAAATGACCCCCAGACAAGAGGTAATTAACCCTTTAAGCCCCAATATCCACATACAAATTCTCCAGACTGATCTCCATACATTTCTTTTAAGAACAGTTGAGAGAATTTGGTTTAAGATCAAAGCATTCTCCTTTTGGTGAACAGTTGAATAATTCTCATAAGCTTTACTCTTGATGATCTGCTGATGTTGTTAGGAGAAAATTGATGTTGGCCTGACACTCTTGGGGCCTAAAGGGTTTATCATCAAAGCCAGCTGGGTTGAGGAAACATTGGGATCTCATGTGGTAGTGCAAGGACACATGCTGGAGTGAAAAAACTAAGATGTGTAGTCAAATTAGTGCCGTGGATTCAAGAGGGAGGATACTAATTCTATTAAGGGCACTTATTTGAGGTGGTGGTGGTGGGGGGGGGTTGCCTATATCATTTTTGAAATTTCAGCTTTACCATAACTTTGTCTTTATTATCCAGTAGATACAGACTATGAGAAGAAATTAAATGTGTTCTTTTGTTCTTAAGGTCCTACTTTCCTTTTATTAAAATTCTATAAGGTTTAGTATTAAAAGTCTTCTATTCTACTTTTATATGAAAGTATATATTTGTTGATAATTTTCTTTCATGGGGAAGGGTTGGAAAGATCTTCCCCATGAATTGAAAGACCTCGCAAATTTCTCCTTCCTGCATGCTTACTAAAAACAACATCTTTAACTGATTAGACAATCTGAGAGTTGACCATATTCCTTCTTTTCTCCATGTAGTATATAGTGTGTGTATTGTTGTTGTTGTTCTCCCTGGGTCCACTCATTTCCTTTTACAGAGGCGGGGGGGGGAGGGGAAGGACATTTTTGCATGGAGTTTTTTTAAAATTATATGCAAAAGTATTACTGGACAAATAAAAAAATTAGCTGTGGGATATCATTGTGTTTATAATTGAAATCAGCCTTGCTAACCTGGTTCCTAAGATCACAATTCAAAGAATAGCTTAACAAAAGTAAGATAATTGAGACTGGTGTTTTAAAATAGTAGCAAAAGAATATTTAACTCAAATGCAGCCACTTTGGTATTGGGTCTATTCTGTTCATAATTTACACTTTTTTACCTGTTGTGTGGAAGATCACTGGTACCTCAACTTCATTGGTTTTGTTTGTTTGTTTGCTTGATTTTACAGATCTTCTGTGGAAAATTCCTCTTGTTTTAGTCCTGATAACGCTTCTCCAGGTTTTGCTTTATGAAAACTATTTTAAATTATTGTGGCTTGCTGACTGGTATATTCAGAGAGGTAAGATTAGAAGAAATGACTTGAACACTATAAAAGATTTGAGAGTTGACCCATAAAATGCTACCCCTTTATCAGAGTGATGGACTAATTTTTTGCTGGAGATGTTAGGTTTTGATCCTCTTCAGCACACTGGCCAAATTATTGTCTAGTGGAAAATATCCATATTTATTATACGTTGTACTCATTATCTGTCTTCTCATTGGCTAATTGCCTACAGCTAATTTTGGAAATCAGAACAACCTGTAATCTGTAGGTTGTGTGCACAATGCAGGATTTTCAATAACAATAATTATATCAATTCAGGTTCCTTGCAACAGTGTGTTTGTCGTTATTTTCTTCAAAACAATGCGTAATAGAACAATAAGAGAATCCAATAATTTTATTATTTATACCTTCCTCAAAGAAGGGATTCTTTTTAAGACCCCCACCACTCTGAAAGTCCCAATTATCTTCATGCCTCACTATGTGACCAGTTTGTTAATAGTTTGTTTCTCTTTTTGCAGGATCACACTTTAAAATGATCCTGTTAGGCTTTTTAGTCATTTTTCTTCTGACATTTTTGTATGAGCATTACACACGGGGATCTATGCTTCGTTACTGGTATTGTCAAAGAGGTTGCCTTAAGGGAGGTCGCACTGTGTCGTTTGTTTACACAACATTTGACAGGCAGGTACGTATACCGTGAGACATGATATTATACATGTAGTGTGGCAGTTCATGATGTTTAAGATAAGGTAGAAACTGCTTGTAACCATCAGGGACCCATTTCTCGAAAGTCCAGGAACTTTATCAAATATTCCAATCAAAATCTAAAGAATGAAAGTGTGAGGCCCACCCAACAAACCAGCCAATTTTGGTTTGTAAATACTGATAATTTTATCATGTTGTATACAGAAATCTTGAATGTAAACAATGGCAGCTTTCCAGGCTTTGGTAAGTATCAGGACTTTCAAGAAACAGGCCCCAGAACAACACTCTTGTGAGCATGTGTGTAGCAGGAGTCTTGTTCATCTCGTAATTAAAACTAGTTGTGTTTGTCACTTCTCAATCCTATTACATACACACTTACTTAACATTGCTGGTAGCCTACGTGTAGCTGCACCCTTCCCTCCCCCGCCCCCCCCGCCAAAGGAAAAACAAAGAGAGGGAGCATTCCTTTGTTTTATCGGGGGGGAGGGTGCAGGTGCATGTAGGCTACCTTGCTGGTTGCTACTGACCAATGAGTCTCATCCTAGTTGTAAGGAGCGTGAGCAGGCATGGGCAACAGCGGCTTAAAATGTCACATATAAAGCATGTGAAGTTCTTTCAAGATTTATTGGTATTTAAATTTCCCATTTGTAGGCAAACTTTTCTGGAGTTGAATTCTTGGGGACAGCATCCCAGTTCAGAAAGAAAAAGAAAAATTTGCTGTCTTGTGTTTTAAGTCCTCCACACAAAGTTGTAGTAGAATGTTTATTACACGCTTTCTTGTTGTTAGGTTCTCATCCCTCTGTTACTGTTGGTTGTCAAGATTACACAAGCTACATTCTACTACTTCTGTAGCAGTCAAACTCTAATATAACAAACCTCTTTATAACAAAGACCCTGGCTAAAGAAAGTTGTTATCACTTCAGTTATAGTCAAATTTATCAAACAGGAATTAACCAACATGTCATATACCGGTAACTTCTCAGAATGGAGTACAGAGACCTTATATTTTATGATTGGTCAATCCATGTGACAAAAGAGATATTTAGAGTCATGTTTATGGCAAATGGTTCCCTGGGTGCCAGAGACTTTTCTAGCGCGGTTTCTGGTTTCTGTACGGCTGAAGATGTGTCGGCCTTTGGCCAACACCGAAAATTCCCGCCGCACGCGAGAAAAACCTCTGGTACCCAGGGTAGGCAAATGGCAAACGTGAATTTATACCACATCACCAAACTTTCCCTTTACTTTGGCTGTTTTCCTATAAACTTGACTCTAAAATCTAGTATAAAATGTCAGCCGTCTCCCCACCCTCCCCCGCCCCATTTAAAACGGGAATTCAGACGTGCCTCTCGCTTTGAGTGAGGCAATGAGATGGCTAACATTTCAGACAACTCTAAATCCCTCTAAAATCAAGTTTGGTTCTCCACGAGGGCGGTGTACTAGCCTTGACACTTATTTCAGGTCACCCAGTTAGAAATATCATCCACTGGCGTGCTTTTTGTCAACGCTAATACGCTGTGCATGTCATATGCCTTTTTATTCATTCTGTTCTTTTGTTTTAGACACCAACAGTGAATGGACTCGAATTCAGTTGGGAGAGTTTAAAGAAGAAACTGAACCTGAATTTCGGCCCCCTCTATGCACCAGGTAAGTATTTTGCTCTGCATCGTTCCTTTGTAGATTTTGCCCACTGGCTCAAAGGTTTTACTCCTACGTAAGTCTCATAAAATTTGCAATGCAGGTGGAAAAATAACTGACTAGCTGGAGTCTTAGGAAAAACTGTTGTCATGCTGGCTGTGATTGAAGATCTTTTCCAAGTTCAGATGGTGTCGTCTTAGGGTAGCCTGTGTACAGACCCCCCTTCCCTTTACCCAGGGGAGGAAGGGTCTCTGCACAGACTAGTCTTAGGGCGGTAACGTTAAGCTTTTGGCCTTGCCTCCTTTATTCTTTTTTATCAATTTCGCCTGCGAATACAGCCGTTAGTGGCGCAAAGCGAGGAGAGACGGCTGTATTCGCGGGCTATTCTCAATACGAAGGGAATATAAGAGAACCGACTGCTGTTTATGCTGTTCGAAAAGGGCAGGTTAGGTAAATCCCACTGGCGTGGTCTATTGTGACCGACACCACTTCGGACGAAGAGCGAAGTCACAGACTTGACCGAAACCGGAAACTGCGCGTGAAAAGAGTCTGAGGCCCGGGGGTAGCACGTGACCTAGCCTCCTCCGCAGTTCTCTGCAGGCTTCAGTGTCCTAATTAAGAGAACGAGTGGGAGAATGGTAAGAGAACGGGGAGTGAAGGGGAGTGACTCCTGCTTAAGACTCCTGCTTTCCTACGCATGTTTTTCGCCTTTTCTTGTTCCCAGACTCCTCATGGTCAGTGTAACCGTTCCAGTAGGAGTTGCTTGCTACGCGTGACCCTCGACTCCCGCAATTTTCAGACGAGAGCTTGTTCGCAGGCCTTCTCACCCCTTCCCCCGCTTGAAGGATCTACACAGTGATCCTCCAGCATCTGAGCAACACGCCTTTTATTTTTTCTATATGTTTTAGGAGTCCATTACTACATCAACACAGATCGTTACGCGTATGGCGGGGTCGTAACCGTTCGCTCCTCACTAGATAACACCCCTCAGGTGCGAGGTGCCGAAGTGTTTGCTCTCAACGCAGAGTGCACTCAAGTATTTTACGAAGAAAGTGGATCTTGGAAACCTTACAGAAGTGCGAGAAAAAGATTTTGCCCACTGGCTCAAAGGTTTTACTCCTACGTAAGTCTCATAAAATTTGCAATGCAGGTGGAAAAATAACTGACTAGCTGGAGTCTTAGGAAAAACTGTTCTCATGCTGGCTGTTATTTAAGATCTTTTCCAAGTTCAGATGGTGTCGTCTTAGGGTAGCCTGTGTACAGACCCCCCTTCCCTTTACCCAGGGGAGGGGGGTCTCTGCACAGGCTAGTCTAAGAGCGGTAACGTTAAGCTTTTGGCCTTGCCTCCTTTATTCTTTTTGATCAATTTCGCCTGCGAATACAGCCGTTAGTGGCGCAAAGCGAGGAGAGACGGCTGTTTTCGCGGGCTATTTTCAATGCGAAGGGAATATAAGAGAACCGACTGCTGTTTATGCTGTTCGAAAAGGGCCGGTTAGGTAAATCTCACTGGCGTGGTCTATTGTGACCGACACCACTTCGGACGAAGAGCGAAGTCAAAGACTTGACCGAAACCGGAAACCGCGTGTGAAAAGAGTCTGAGACCCGGGGTAGCACGTGACCTAGCCTCCTCCGCAGTTCTCTGCAGGCTTCAGTGTCCTAATTAAGAGAACGAGTGGGAGAATGGGGAGAGAACGGGGAGTGAAGGGGAGTGACTCCTGCTTAAGACTCCTGCTTTCCTGCTCATGTTTTTCGCCTTTTCTTGTTCTCAGACTCCTCATGGTCAGTGTAACCGTTCCAATAGGAGTTGCTTGCTACGCGTGACCCTCGACTCCCGCAATTTTCAGACGAGAGCTTGTTCGCAGGCCTTCTCACCCCTGCCCCGGTTGAAGGATCTACACAGTGATCCTCCAGCATCTGAGCAACACGCCTTTTATTTTTTCTTTATGTTTTAGGAGTCCATTACTACATCAACACAGATCGTTACGCGTATGGCGGGGTGGTAACCGTTCGCTCCTCACTAGATAACACCCCTCAGGTGCGAGGTGCCGAAGTGTTTGCTCTCAACGCAGAGTGCACTCAAGTATTTTACGAAGAAAGTGGATCTTGGAAACCTTACAGAAGTGCGAGAAATATCCATTGTACATCAGCTAAATAAATGAACGCTCAATCAAATTAACCATAGGGTGATGTCTGTCGTGGAGAGAGAGTTTTAGAGTAGACAAAGCGACACGCGCGAGACACGCAAATGACCACGCGCGTGACTGAAGGCGCGAGACGGGAGAGGCTCTTTTTCCTTCTCGGGCTGCCGCCCTCGTTTCTCGCGCGCGTGCACTCCCCTCATTAAATCTGAAGAAAAAGAGAGACTGCTAGCCTCTGCTGCTAGCAGTCTCGTTTTACAGTCACGCTTACGGCCACGGCAAGATTTAAGTAGCTAGAGAATCTCTCAAAATATAAAAAAAGCGGATGAAAACAGTCCAAAAAGATTCTTAGGCGCAAAGTATCGTGAAAATACTATATATATATATTTTTTTTAGAGAAGTAAGGATCAGTAAAAGGCTAGCCTGCCAAAACATCCGTTTGTCCTCGCTCTTCGTCGATGGGGACGTTTCGCGCGGAACAGATGTTTTCGCAGGCTAGTAAAAGGCAAGTAAAGAGAAAACTTGGTCACGTGGTACAAATTCACGTTTGCGTGACACTAAGTCTCTCCTACCTTAGTTTATCAGTAAACTGTTCTCTTCGGTTCCTTTTGTCCCTCTTAAGTCTCATATATAGGAGAGCATCGTAAGAGTAGAAACTATAATTAAAACGAATGTATTGTACCTCTCATTCCCGTGATCTTTCTCTGCTCGTCTTAGGAACAAAGTAGTCAATTTGCTTCTATCCTAAAGCCGATATTTTTCATTTTATATTTGTAAGCAAAAGGCCTATTTTATAAACAGCTTGGACAGTCTCAAGTGTACTCTTCCCCTCATGGCATTGACAGGATTGAACTTCGTCCTTTTTCTGATGGGAAAGCTGCAAATTCCCCACGGTGGACCCCGCAAATGCGTACAAAAACCCTACTGTATATCCCCACCTTGGGGCTTACGAAAATTAATAATAATAATAATAATAATTAAAACTTATATAGCGCAACTTTCCATGGGACATGATCGAATGCGTTTTACAATAAGTTAAAAAGAAAGACTAAAAAAAAAAGTGTTGTGAAATGTGCGGTTCGAAAGTAAAAAGAACACATCTCTGTTAGGGTCGTTCCTGTGGAATGATTCCCCGAAGCAACAGAACCTCTGTAAAGCTGGTCCTTCATGGTCCTGTAAGGAATGTACCAAACTCATAAACGTACCGAATATTATTTTTTATTATATAGACACGAGTGTTTTACTGGAAAATATACCACTCGTAAAATTCATAAAAACTACATCCGGGACCCCAGTGGTTTATTTTCCATAAGTGAGTTTATCGATGACGTAATTTCGGTCATTTCCTTCTATTATTTTATCGATGTCTTTTTGTCTATATAATAAAAAGAACATTACACGGCAGCTTGAAGATATGAATTTTATTTTCTCGTGGCAAAAAACAGTATTTTACTCACTCGCTGCGCTCGTTCGTAAAATATTGTTTTGCCACTCGAAAATAAAATTCATATCTTCGCCCTACCGTGTAATATCCTCTATAGGATGTTCCAGATCTTCACACCCATCTTTGACACCAGTTTCAGGCTTTCGCGGCCGTTTTTCGAAACTGTGCAAATGGTAAACGTGACTTTGGATTGAAATTTACCATTCCTGAATTTTGTTTACCATTTTCGCCAACTGTGAACAGACGCCAGGTGAGCCCCAGTCCATGGACTACCTGTATGGACTACCCTAAAATGAACTACGCCACTGAAGTTTACTGATATTAGGGTCGGTTAGGCCATCCCTTTTTTTTTCGTTTAGCATCAAATCCGTTTCCTGATATTGGGTTGGTCGGTCGGATTGAAAAAAAAAACTGAAAGAAAAATCACAAGAATTCTCGCAGAATTTGGGTTGGTCGGACTACGCTAACGGCGAAAAAAAGAGGATGGCCTTAGGAAACTGAATGAATCAGGTTCCATTTAGGGTCAATATACTCAAAAAAACTGCCCTGAAACTTGATTCACCCAGTTTCATAACCCCTAAGTTACCCTTAATCACTACGCTTCAGCGGCGTAGTCCATTTTAGTCCATGGACTGGGCTCAGTGTTTTTCCACCATTACTGTAAATGGTCAACAACAAAAGTTGCCATTTATAAGGCGATGGAACAAATTGAGAAGTGATTCCATAACGTGGCTTAATTTGTGGGGGTGGGGCTTGGCGTGTGATTTTTCAGATTTTTGTTGCTTACTTATTTTAACATGACAATGAGCCTGGAAAAAACAAGCGAACCCTTTCATCCTTTTGTTTCGGATAATTGAATCTTGAAAAGTATCAAAGCAGGTCTCGTACAAGCGGGAGCCGTAATCGGCTCCTGGTACACGCTATTTTCCAAGCATGCCAGATGACCAGCTGAGTGTCTTTTGTCAAGCATAAAACCCTACAAAATCCGCGTCGAGTTCATTTCACTGCAATATCTGACTGAATGGTAAAATCAGATGATAGTTTTCTTTTTCTGCCGTATCAGGGCTCCCCGCCGTCATGTCTCTTTTTGATGACAATCTGCACCTGCAAAAAGCCAGTACATCCGGGAACGCAAACTTTTTAGCGTTCTGGGCACGCGCGGTAAGGTATTGTGCAGCAGCATACATGCACGACAGCGAGGCTGAGTTTAGTCGGCGTCCGATCAAACTCGAAACCTATGAGTGTCTAGGCAAAAGTATACTACATAGCAAACACAATGTTCAAATCTGCAAGCAAAAGTAATCTAGAGGGCGAGTTCCAGTGTAAGATCAGTCTTTTGGACGATACAGAGTTGTCGTGCGATTTCAAGGTAAGTTTAAGTTTAGCATTGCATCGCCCTCATGTTAGCTTTACAAATGCATGAGCTGCTAAAGTATGAGCGAATGTTACGTGATCTTTCGTTCTTTGTCTAAGCCGGTCTTTTCTTCGTGTTTATTGTAACCGGCTTGCTTTCCAGCTTTCACATGTTTCTTTTTCTCCATAATAAGTTTTTCCACATTGTTATTGTTTTTTTTTCAGTGAAATCATAGTGCTCAAAGCTCGTGTACTCTGCATGCACTAACTGTGTGTTGCCGTCATTCGAAGACCAGTTCTTAAATATCAGTTAGGGTAACAACAATTTTTTGCAGTGTTTCAATTTAAACACAATCTTCGATTTGTCATGACTATGATTTTGGAGTTCCTTAATCCCGTACTTTGCATTTTGCAAAATACTCTCGACTGCTTGCTTCGATTATGGAATTGCCCGCTGATTTCAGGATAATTTATTCAGGCTGTAAAAAGAAAATAAATTTGCATCGGTTCGACTGTTTGTGGAGGAGACACCCTATTAAATCTGGTCTTCTTTTTTCCTTCTTTTTCCTCTCTGACCCTGACCGATTTCGAGGAAGGATTGACAAAACTTCCTCGTTCTTAATCCCTTTTTTCTGCCCGTGCCATGTGGCTTAATCGGGTAATATCAAATCTGAGATTGTTGCGTCCTCGATCGCTTGTTTTTCCGACTTAATTATTATACATGTTAAGTTAACTTATTGTTTCGCTTTCTGTATTTGTCGTAGTTTACTGAAAATTTTAAATTAAAAATACGGTGAGGTAGGTACATGTAAATGCTGTGAGTAGTTTTTGCTACACGTGAATTCGAGCCACAAACCCCGTGAAGCGTGACAAAGGTGTTCAATTTCATCTTCTCGATTTCTCGTCTCGAGCTCTTTCATGCTCGTCGACTGTACACCCAGTGAAAAAAAATACAAGAAGAAACAAATAAAGTGTTTGCGAATATTTTTTTATTGTTATCCGATGTTCTCAGTGTCCCAACTTTTGCCGGTGATCTTTGTATTCTTAGTCTAATTAGCACGTGAATATGTCATGATAACAATGATTTGTGAGGTCCACGTCTTCAAGTTGGTAAATAAACTCAGGTAAATTAAATAATGCCTAGCTTTTGATTTTGTTTTTCTTTCTTTCTTGTTATTCTGTATCGAAAACAAAAATCCACAAAATCACTCATGCCTTTTTTACGATAAGTATCTTCTAAACGTAAAATTACTCGGACGATCGTGCTCAGCAAACCCTTTCGAAAGTCATCGTAACACAAGCAACAGTTCATTGCAATTAAAAACTGATGTTAGAAACAGTATATCGAGGTAAACAAAACTACACGTGAAAAGTGTTTATTAGAAGTTATGTATGTTGCGTGTCTTGGTTTAGATTGTTTCTTGAGTTTCACACTGTGGTTAAACGTATTCCTTTCATTTTATTTATAATGCGTGTGACTTCGTTTCATGCTTTGAAACATTTTTGCAGAGAGACGTCAAAGGACAGAGCGTCTTCGACGAAGTTTGTAGGACGCTTGACTTACTGGAGAAGGATTATTTTGGTCTTCGTTACGTGGATGATGCCAAACAAAGGGTAGGATTTGTCTTAATAGGGACGCATAATTAAATTCATAAATATGTGATTGTTTGTTTTCAGTTACTGGAGTGTGTACTTTGTAAACAGGTCATGTTTGCTGTTGTCACGACTGTAGCAACTTTTTTTGAACTATAACGTGCTTCTCTGCTCATCTGTCTTGAGTATTGGAAACTCACTGCATTGCTCACATGATTTTCAAAATTCAATTTACATCTTTCAGTTTTGCTTCACTGAGGTTTAATTAAGTAACTAGTTCTTAAGTGATTTTCACACAGTTAAACGCCGTTGCATACAAGAAAGCCATTATCAATATTGACAGTCACTTAAGACTGGTTTCCTATGATTGTCCAGAATGTCCTGATTGGCCCACTCTTTTAGGGGTGACTATTGGAAAAATTTTAACTATTGCACAAAAGGTCACACAGATACCTTTACCGAAAATAATTTAATAAGCGTGGCTCTTGATTAAACGCTGTGGCACTAATTTGAATATTCACAAATTAATGCCCCACCTTTGTAAGGCGCTTGATATTCCTTGAGAAATAGGACCTTGGCCAACTTGTGAGTTCTAAAGTTTTAATGTTGTAAAACTCTTAAAGCCAG